CCTGCGCATGCACACACACCACCACCCCTTGCCTGCACTGTGCATGCACTCACCTCCCAGCTGATTTTCGGCCCGTTTGAAGCTGTTTTCGCCTTCCTGGAGGCTCGGAGGAAGCCTCTGCAGCCTTTGGAGGCCGAAAAACGGGCCCATTTCGGCACTTCCAGTATTTCCACCTCCAAAGGCTGCAAAGGCTTCCCTCGAGCCCCCAGGAGGGTAAAAACGGCCTTCCCCGGGCTCCAGAGGCCCTCCAGAGGCTGAAAATAGGCACTTCTGGTATTTCCAGAAGCCCCATTTTTCAGCCTCCCGAGGCTGCAGAGGCTTCCCATGAGACTCTGGGAGGGCAAAAATGGCCTCAAATGGGTCGAAAATCAGCTGGGAGGCGTGCGCATGCGCATTGTAGGTAAGTTTGGCTAGGGCTCGTGTGCCCGCACAAATGGCTCTGCAAGCCACTTGTGGCACATGTGCCATAGGTTCGCCATCACAGTCCTATGTGCCCCTCTGTCAGAAAAAATGTCTGCTTCTGTCAAAAAATCCTACCCCTTGTAAAGAACGGACCCTATTCTGAGATGTAGCCTCAATCCAAAGAAGGGATTGGCTAAGGCTTTGGAAAAACCTTGTGGGAATCGAGGTTAGTTCCTGCAGACACTAGCCAATATCTAACTGGAGTGAACCAAATATCTCACAGAGCTGAATGCTCTTTCAGTTGAAAAAATAAAAATCCTAGAAAGATACATCAAGCCAACCAAATTCGTCTGTCAGGAACAGATTCTTCCAGGCAAGATTCTGTTTCCAGCCCTGGAAATGGCAGGAGATGTGATTGTATTCAGTGCAAACCGTGATATGCGACGTTGAGATACTTGCATGCAGAAAATTAACCAGGCCAGGTGGCTTTCTCTGTGGCACATTACTTTTAGAGTAGATCCCCTCTGCTCAATCACTCTAAATTGTCTTCAGTCCAGGATAGCTAGCGTGAGGGACCAAAGGACGCTAATTAGGCCATTTTGTGTAATACAGGTAGGTCTCGACTTATAGCACTTCATTTAGTGACCATTCAAAGTTACACTGGAAAAAGTGACTTATGATCATTTTTCACACTTATAACCGTTGCAGCCTCTCCAGGGTCACATGATTTACATTCAGACGCTTGGCGACTGGTTCAAATTTATGACGGCTACTAGTGTCCCAGGGTCATGCGATCAACTTTTGTGACCTTTTCACAGACAAAGTCAATGGGGAAGCCAGATTCACTTAACAACCGCGTTACTAATTTGACAACTGCAGTGATTCACTTAACAACTGCGGCAAGAAAGGTTGTAAAACAGGGCAAAAACCATTTAATAACTGTCTTAACAGACATTTGGGGCTCAGTTGTTATCATAAGTCGAGAACTACTATGTATGTATGTATGTATGTATGTATGTATGTATATGTATATGTACATACATACATACATACACACACACACAAGTAGTCCACAGCATATGACAATTGAGCCCCAAATTTCAGTTATTAAGACAGTTACTAAATGGGTTTTTCCCTAACAACAGAAATTTGAGGCTCAATGGTGGTCATACGTTGAGGACTACCTGCATGTATATACAGTAGTTCTTGACTTATGACTGCAACTGAGCCCAAAATTTCTGTTGTTAAGTGAGACATTTGTTAAGTGTCTTTCATCCCATTTTACAACTTTTCTCACATCTGTTAAGCGAATTACTGCAGTTATTTAGTTAGTAACACGAATGTTAAGTGGATCTGGCTTCCCTATTGACGTTGCTTGCCAAAAGGTCGTAAAAGGGGATCGCATGATCCCGGGACACTGCAACAGTCTTAAATATGAGTCAGTTTTACCAAGCATCTGAATCTTGATCGCATGACCATGGCAATGCTGCAATGGTCGTAAGTGTGAAAAATGGTCCTAAGTCACATTTTTCAATGTCGTAACTTTGAGCGGTCACTAAATAAACTGTTGTAAGTTGAGGACTACCTGTATCTTCAAATCAGTCTTGACTCCTGGTGATTACATGGACAAGTTCTTGTAGTTTTCTGGCAAGATTTCAGAAGTGGTTTGCCACTGCCTGTTTCCTAGGGCTGCGAGAGACCTGGCTGGCATCAGACCTCTCAGCTGTGCCTAAGGCAAGATTAGAACTCACACTCTCTCAGCTTCTAGTTTTTAACTATAACACCACACTGGATCTCTACTATAATGTAGGAAATACATAGTTAATTCAAAAGAGCCTGAAAATATGTACTCCCACTATCACATTAAGGGGCGTGAAATTCATTTGGAAAGTGTAAGAATTTGGTTTGGTCTAGTGGTTAAGGCACCAGGTTAGAAAGCAGGAGACTATGAGTTCAAGTCCCACCTTAGCCATCAAAGCTGGCTGGATGACTTTGGATCTATCACCTAGAGCAGGGACCGCCAACCTTTTGGACCTCAGGAACCACCAAACTCGTAATTTTAAATCCCAGGGACCAGAAACCCTGGGAAAATCCCCAAAAAGACTGCAGGAAAATTCCCCACCCCATTTTCCTACTAATCGATCATTCTTTATTTGGGATCTCCAGCTCCATTCTCAGGGAGGGAGAGGGGGGGAGGGGGAGAGAGAGAGAGAGAGAGAGAGAGAGAGAGAGAGAGAGACTTTTGGCTTCATGTAAAGAAAGCAGCAGAAGCAGCAGAAGTCTTTCTTTCTCTCCCCCAAACTCCACTCAGAAATGCGTCTTTGTGAGACTTGTAGTGCTGGCGCAGCCTCTTGGAACAGGATGCCTTGCAGGGTCCCAAAGACTCATTTCTGGTGGAGTTTGGGGGAGAGAAAGAAAGACTTTTGCTGCTTTCCTTGCGTGCAGCCAAAAGCAGAAGGAGAAAGAAGCGAAAAGTAGCAGCCCAATAGCCAGCCCAGGCTCGTGGGGCGAGTAGGACAAGTCCCCCCACCCTCCATCCTTTCCCCCTCCCCTCACTACCTCATGTTCGCAATGCAAGCAACACAAGCCTTGTGTTCCCGTGCAGCCTGGATTAATTGTTTTGGGGGTGCTTTGGGGGGTGACATTTCTCTGTGGACCACCAAAATTTTCTCGCGGACCACCAGTGTGTCCCTGGCCCACTGGTTGGCAGCCACTGACCTACAGACTGTGACTTCCGATCCTGCCTTAGAAATGAAAATTGGCTGGGTCACTCTCCCTCTCTCAGCCCAATCCACCTCCCAGGGTTGTTGTTTTTGTGGGAAAAATAGGAGGAGAAAGGTGTGTTGAATATGTTCATTCCCTTGAGTTATTTATAAAAATAATAAAGGCAGGATATAAATAATAAAATAAAACATAAAAAAATAGGGGAAGAGAAACCTGGGGGAAGAGAACGGACCACAAAGAAGATGGCAGCTCCTTTTAAGCAGAAACCTTTTCCTACCAATGTGGAACAATCAATCAAACAAACAAAAAACACCACCCTATTCTTTCCATCAACCCTCGATGATCACTGCATGACGCCCCCAAACATTCATGACCAGGAGAAAACACTAACCAATCATTAACAGAGCAAAGGGAACTAACCAGAACAGAAGAAACACAATCTGCCCACTTCTTCTCCCACGGGTCACAAAATATCGGGGGAACAAACCACATAACATGGGCAGAAGGGACCCTGCTGCAGAACCAGGATGTCCCCCATTTAAACAAGCCAGAAACAAGAGCAAAGGATCCACCATGGATCATCCCTAGTCATCCTTTGCTCTGCAGTTATCTCTTTATCTCCCTCCACAGTGTGGCGAGTCTCTGCCAGCTTCCTTCCAAAGAGCCTCTTATCTTAAAAAAGGCTCTTATCTTAAAAAGGCAAGGTCTCCCTCCCTTTGAAGTACAATTTGAATGACAGTTTTCCAGCTGCATCTACTCCTGTCAGAGAAGGTTCAAAGAAGCATTGAGAAGAAAGGGAAAGAGATGGTGGACATACTGGGAGGCGCTGGTGAAACATCCAGTAAAATATTGAGCCAATGGCCAGCCATGAGGATCTAATGCCCTGTTCATTAAACTTCAACTATAAGATGTGTGGACTTCATCACGCCAGAATTCTTGCTGGGGAAGATGTGTGGATTTCAACTCCCAGCATAGCTGGCTGGGGAATTCTGGGAGTTGAAGTCCACAGATCTTAAACTTGCCAAGTTTTGAAAAACACGGATCCAGGACAAAGAAAAGTACCTCAATATTTTCTCAGGTCCTTGGCACTTAGTCTGGGACATTTGGGGTTAATACAGCTATAGAAAGATGCAACAGAGAAGCCAACCCAATCAACTAATACCCCTTCTGGAAGAATTTAAAAGTATTGGGGTAGGAGGGGACCCCCGAACAACACTCATTTCTCAGCTTTGCCTGTTTTCTGACACATCCCTCTAAATTCCTTTTCCAGGCAAGCATACCTACTCAACAAGCCAACGCTGCTTTCCCTGTCCATTTCAGAGATTGTTTGCAAGAAATTCAGCCAGCAGGACTTATTTCCCCAGTATAATAAACACAAATTAAAATTCCGGGCTTGGCCAGAAAACAGACTGAGAGAGAGGGGTGGGCTGAAGACGAAACCAGGATTAATGGTAGCATTTTACACAGTTAGGAGATCCTTGCCCTTTTATCTGTTTGGGGGGGTGGGGGGGTGGGATTTAAAGGGTGGAAGAAGACATCCGACTGATTACCTGCTTTGTTTTCTTCCCATCAGGCCAACTACTGTACCTCCTTAAGCCTTCACAACAAGGAGACTATGCAATTACTGGTCCCCCTTGACACTCTTAAGTACAGAGAACAAACAAGTTGAAGCTTGCAGTTTTTGACTCCCAGTTAACCCCCCCTCCCTTCTGCCAGGGATGTCCTCCAACCCCTCCCCTTGCAGTCCAGAGCATGCTGGGTACAAAATGGAGCTGCTGCTCTTTTAGACATCTCCCCTCCCCCTTCACATACAAAAACAACCCCCAATTCAGGGGAATCTACTGAGCCTCCATTGCCCCCAGCGTCTCACTTACCATACTGAAATCTAGGAGATCGCTTAATTCCTTGTCGGTTCCTGCTGCAGCCATTCTTTGTTGCTGGTTCATATTCCCACAGATTGAAATGGTGTCTGTCTTTTTTAGAAAAAGGACAGTGGGGGCGAGGGAGGGAGGGGGAGATACGAAGGAGAAAGGAAGCAGGATAGGAGTGGAGAAAAGAAAAGATTATTATTTCTTTAATGGAATGGAAGCGCTTGAAAATAAGCTCATGTTGTTCAATACTAGATACAATATGCAACTATTTCTCAGAATTATAAATCCTCCCGGGCAAAAATTCTCTAGCAAGCAACAACTGAGTAATTAAAACTCTTTCTCTCTTGCACACACAGGCACGCACATACACACAAACAGTATCTTTAAGTGCCAATTTCTTGACTGGGGCCACTTCAAAACCAATAAAAAACATTTTTTTTAAAAAAAATCATAAATAACGACAGGAACAGGGAGACAACAAAAATCTAAATGTCATGGTCTTTTCTATTCCAGATCACCTGTTGCTCCAGTTAGCGATCTAACACTTGGAAAAGTTGCTGACCTTTGATTTTAAGGTTCCCAAAGTAATTCTGCAGTTAATTCTAATGCTGCATCTATTTACAAATCCCATCAATCACTATCTCCCCCCTTCTCTTTTTTTTCTTTGATACGGACTAGAGGAGTTGTTCTTGCAAATAATAAGCAAGGGTTTCATTTCCTGCACCCTTAAAAGACACAATAGGAAATACTTAAAATTTGAATTTTGAATACAGTCTCTAAAAACTAAAAAACAATATGTGATCCAACCCCCCACGAGGCAAATACACTGCAATCTTACACTAACCTGGGAATAAGTTCTGTTGATCTGCCTGAACTTTTGAGCAGAAATGCAAAAAAAAAAAAAAAAAGCATGTCTTATGTGCCAAAATTCAGGTGAACGGTGAATACAAAAATTCCATCTTTTGCACACACAGAGAGACTTTGCTTTATCTGTGGAAGAGCCAGTTGTGTTGATGAGGAACAATTTTCTCTAATCAACGGCTTCATTTGATCACCACCTCACTTTCAATCCTCCCCAGCCTCATCCTCCCCACATTAAAAAATAAATAAAACTATAAAAAAATAAGACTGAAGTGTCCTTGGGGCAGGGAGCCTTTGTTTAATTTTGCCTGTCCCATGCTGCTGACTGTGTGGTTTTTAACGTCTGTCTTCTTGCAAGCTGCCCAGAATCAATTGGGAGTGGGTGGCATGCAAATATGTAAAATAAACAATAATTACTAACAGCTCCTTGGCTTGAAAGAGACCACAGAGGTCATCAAATCCAGCCCTGCTCAGCACAGGAATCACAAAATAAAGACCCAAATTACTTGCCAGATTGTAAGAGCCTAGCTATATACTCACAGTGTGAGAACACTGATAGTTTATTGTACTTGTGAGTAAACACTACACAACTCGGTGGAATCTACTGGAGAGTAAACCTTGCCCAGTTTTAAGCAACCTTTTTAAGCGCAGAACAATTTTTTTTTGCATCTGGGGACCTCCAGATGCAACAACAATGTCCACAATCCTCAGTCAACAAGGAAAGGCTGCTGTAAAATATGGATGGGGGGTGGGAGTTGTCCTGGTTGTGTGAATCTGATCAATGGGGATGCAGCCTAGGAAAGCAGCCAGATAACAGCTTTAAATTTGCAGTCTTCAGGAATTTTTTTTTTTTAACTTCATGCCGTGATGTGAGATGTCCTCACATTTAATCTCTCATGTTGGTAAAAGCTGCGGATCACAGAAACTTCAAGGCTCAGGAATTGCAACATATAATTATTATTACCATAAATAATATTTTATTTAACCCCCACCCATAAGTCTTTAGAGCTTATGGTCACCCATCAACGACAAGAACAAACAAAAGGATGTATATTACTCTCTGCCACAAGATATGGTGCAAGCCATTCATTATAAAAAAACAAAAGGAGTTCAAACTAGACAAGAGGAGAAATGAAAGATTTCAGTACTTCTTAAGCATGAAAGTGGGATTTAATTTCCACACAGGCCTTTGATCCCAAATGGGACATGTCGGGGCACAAAACAAATACTAGAATCCTTAATTTCTTTGAGGCATATGAACAGAAAGATACTTGTGCACTTACGCTCACAGACTTGGAAGGAAAGATACACCCAATTATTTATTGATATCCTTCCCTTATTATATTTACAAATAACACAAGGCGGCTAACATACCTAATACCCCTTCCTCCTTCTATTTCCCTCACAATAACAACCCTGTGAAGTGGGTTGAGCTGAAAGAGAGGGACTAATCCAGAGTCACCCAGCCAGATTTCATGCCTAAAGCAGGACTAGAACTCACAGCCTCCTGGTTTCCAGCCTGGTGCCTTCACCACTAGATCAATCAATCTGCTCAATGCTCCTATTTCTGCTAGATGAAAATGGGAGACAACCCCCCCCCAGTAGAAATGCACAAGTGGGGTTTGCCCCAAATTGCCAGAGTACACTCCTTCTACAATATATGCCAATCTGGGGTTGACAGCTCAACAAATTTCATTACTCTGTTTTCCTGAGATTCCTTTACTGGTTTATCTTCCTTTTCTGCGTGCCCCCAGGCCCCATTGCCCCCTTGTAAATCAAAAACTCTATGTACTCTAACTATGCCTTATATATTCATTGTCGATCTTATGTAACAGACACATTGGGAATAGCAATCTTTATCTTTGCTGATAGATAAATGTGTGTTGCTGGAGTAGGTGGGTAGAAACTCCAGGATCCTAGACATTTCTACTTGAGAGTAAGCTTCATGATTGCCAAGGGGCCTTACTCCACACAAAGCACAATTAGGATTGTAATCCAGACTTTTCAGGCTACGCCATGTAATGGGCAGAGAGGCCCACTGAATACTATGAGGTTACACGACAGTGCAGCAAATCCAGTTTACTCTATAATTTAGAAGGGAAAAGAAAGACTCACACCCACTCACTTTCTCTATGAACTTAGTGAAGGCAATTGAGTAATGGTGCAATAGAGCCTTTAATTTCAGCAAACTATCTGGCAATTACTTTTTATCTGAAAGTTGCTAAGCGTGTTTCCAGAAACTCCTTGTAATAAGGGCTAAATTCGAAGGTGGAAAACAAAACTTTTGATCGTTCGCCCAGAAGGCCAGATTGCACTCCCGAAGACCTGGATTCAACTCACTGTGGAAAACTCACCAGGCTTGTCTCTCCTTCTCAGTTCAGCCTATCCCATACGAAAATAATCTGGGAAAAAGCAGATTGCTACATGGGAGGAATGGTGGCAATGAAATAAAAATAACCCCCAAAATGTGGGGTATCCCTCAAATTTATCCTCATTTTGGGGCGAGGAGCAGAGAAGGGTGGTAGAAAGCATTGGTACCCACCAATCTACCTCTTCATCAAGGGTTGTGTTGTTTTTTTACAAAAATAAATCTCCCCCTGCTCCATTCACATATGTGTGGGGGTGGTGGTGGAAAAAGCACCCCCTTAAACTGCATTTTAGCCCTCCTCCGCTGAGGGCATTTGCCAGACTTAAGCCGAGGCACGGCAGAATCCCAGACACGTGCTCTCGGCATGAGCAATCGCCTGGATCCGGCCGATGAACCCGGTCTCACTCCAGACACGGATATTCTAGGAGAGCCCGGGGTTCAACCCTGCAAACTGGCAGGTGCCCTCTCTGCCACAGATCCACACAAGAACACAAGGGCAAACTGAAGGCAGCTGGACTTCAGGCAGGAAACCGCGGTGGCGTTTACCTCTCCCCAAAGTATTTCTTCAAATCTCTCCCTTCCTCGCCCCTGCAGGAGAAAGTGGCTGTCCCCCCCCCCCTGTTGGCCGCCCCCCAACCTCCCCCCCCCCCCCCCCCCCCAGCAGTTGCCCTCCCCCCCCCCCCCCCCCCCCCCCCATTCCAAGCAGTTGTCCTCCCTCCCGGCTACCCTTCAACCTGACTCATTTGGGGTTCCTTTCACTAGAAGCTGAACACTTTTTTTTCCCCCTTCAGGACAAAGACTCCAAACCAGCTCCCCCGGACCCTCCCCCCATCCCCAGGCCCCTCCTCCTCCCCCTCCCCTATTACCATACTTTTAAAGAAAAAAAAAATTAAAAAAACTCCGGGACAGGTTTATGGATATTTGCTAGAACTCTTCTGCTTTCTAAGTGTTCCATCTTTAGGCAACTTAATGTAGTCACAAACAGATTAAAATACGGAGTGGGGTGGGGGGAAGGTGGAGAGCCAGGGGAAAACAAATCTAACACAAAGCAAAGTGTGTGCGTGTACATGAGGGGGAGGGAGGTCTTGCCTGTGCATTAAAAAGAAAAGTTTGTAATACACTCAAAGGCTCCCGATATCTACTTCCAACACAGCACAGCACAGCTTTTTAGAATTTCTTTTTAAATTACTGGTGTGGGGGGAGAGAATTCACATTGGGGTTTTTTTCCCCCTCTTTCCAGTTTGGTTTAATGCAGCAGACAAGGAATCTCTTATATGCAAGCAGCTGCCATCTGGGGCCTCACCCCCCTCCTCAAATGCAGCAGCAGCACCCATATTACTGGACGATAAATGCTGTATTTGAGGACAGGCCTGGGGTCTCCCTTTTCTCTTTCAGTAATTGAGGCCTAACTTATTTTACAGCCATCAACAACTTGCTCACAATAAAGCAGCCAATTAGCAGATTCATTAATATATTGTGTTGCTTCAAGAACACTACACACAGGTATATAGCATGATTTCACACAGATAAACCTATAAATTTTAGACATGTAATATATAGGTACAGGAACAAGCGATTGAAGAAAACATTATCTAAGCACATAAGTAAAAGATCAAAGTACAACTCGGCATAAACAATGACCTGTTATTTAAGGTCTGGGGAACAGTTTCACTCAGAATTTGAAGCATTATTTCAAATTACACAAGAACTTTGTGGCTATTTGTCATCTTTCTCAAAAACTAAAAAGCAGAGGTTTGTGCCCATTTGATTGGCAAACAGCAATAACAAATATTTCAACCAGAGACAATTGTTTTATACACATGGACATTGAAGTCAGAAGAAACAGTTTTGCCTACAGACTAAGTTCTCAGAAAGAATTCTCCCCACAGAGTTCCAAAAATTTAGTGGTTGCCCTTAAATTCTGGGATATTCTAAAAGAAGGCCTAGATTGCTGCCATACAAACTTCCCAAGGAAATTGCCGAAGGGAAAAGAGGGAAGGGGTGGTGAACTCTTTCTTAAATAAAGTCAAAAGGCTGAGATAAATAAATAAATAGATAAATAAATAAATCAGGCATTTAATTCCAGGCTTTGCTTAATTTCATCCATGGCCTAAACCTTGTATTTTCCCAATTTCCTTTGTGCAGAAGATCTAATAATTGTGGGGAGGAGTGTGGCATAGGTTGTGTTTGGTACATCAAACCTGCTGTAGAAATATTAGAGTTACAAAAGGAATGGATGTTTGTGGTGGGGCAGGGGGAGAAGGAATTTGTAAATAGAAGCTGGAGAAGAATAATCCAGCTAAGCAGTGACATCAATGTGATATGTTCCCATTTTAAATGTTTGTCACTTCCATTAGCATGTGTCCGGTTTTGTTTTTAAGCAAGGGAGGGTCGTATTCTAGTAAAATATAAATTAGGGTGGGTGTCTGTGGGATGAAAGAAAGAATTGGCAAACTGGGATTTAAAAGGGAGACGATACTATAATCATGGACATCAAACGGGTGTGGGCTTTCCTCTCAAGAGTGAGTGTGTGAAGAAAGAACATTAAAAACTTTTTAGAAAGGGCGTCTTTGCAAAAGTGGGACAATCAGGAATACAATTGCCCTTCTCTGCCCCCTTTAATCCATACTGTTTGATAATTGCACACTAAATAATAATAGCCAACACACCACATTTTGGTGCTGGACAAAGTATAATAAAACTTCTCTTAGACAAGAGGGAGATGTATGTTGGGGGGGGGGGAACTCTTGTGCATGTGTGTATCTACTATGAGTGAATTCTGGATCCCTTCATTAAAATGAACAAACTACTGCAACTGAAAAGCATCTGTATTCATTGCAGGGAAATTTAAGACATCACTTCCCAGTGTTTCTTTCTTTAAGGACAATAAACTTCACAGGCAAGAAAATGGGGGGAAGTCAGCCCCCTTCTGCTTTAGGTTATTACACTCCCCCCCCCCCAAAAAAAAAGCTGAACTCCCCCGCAGGCCTAAAGGAAAGCTCAATAGAGTATAAAGCTTGTTGCCTTTCTCCCCGACCCTCAAAAGGAGTTAAGAAGACCTCCTTCATCGACTCCCCCCACTCCACCCCGCGTTTGCTTCAGCTAGCTTCCCGCCCCATGAAGTTTAATGCCACTTCCGGGGGGGGGGGGGAGAGAGAGAGAGAAAGAGAGAAAGAAAGGACAAGTGTGCGTGCGTGTGGGGGAAGAACAGGGAAAAATACACCTAAATAATAAGCATAACAGAGAGAGAGACAGACAGTAACAGTAATTACTAAGTAAGGGACAGAGCCGAGGAAAGTAGCAAAGTTAAATCTATAGACCCTCAGGAAAGAGAAAGAAAGACTCCCGACTTAAGTCAACTCTGCCCCCTCCGAAAATAAAATAGTTCCGTGGAGGGGGAGGAGTCACACACGAACCCCCCAAATTAAAAGCAGAGGCCCTCCCCTACTTGCTTCACCCACCCGCAGCCCCCCCCCCTTCCTCAGGCTTACCTGCTCAGCTTTGTGGTGGGGGGAGGGTTACATCCACAAGTATGGCTGAAGATTCCCGGGGCGCAGCCGGGGTGGGCGCCCCGGTCGCCCCTCCTGCCTTCCTATTGTTCTCCCGGAGGCGACTGGAGACGGTGGAGGCAGCTTTAACAATGTCCAAGCAAACGGAAATGTAGTCAAAACGAGGGAGGGAGGCTTTTTTTAAAAAAGAAAAGAAAAAGGAAAGAAGAAAAAGAAAAAAAAAAGGAGAAGAGGGGGGGGAAAAAGCGAGAGTGGGAAAATAAATTAAGAGAGGACGGGCGGGGGGGGGAGAAAGGCGCTCCCCCGAAGGTTCAGTCTGTCTGCGCCCCTCGGGCTGCGAGTTCGGCCGCGCCGACGTTCGATCGAATGTTTGTCCCAACGTTCGATCGGGTGTTTTTGCCCCCCGCCAGGAGCTTCTGCTGTGGCCTCTTCAACGTTCCATCCGCGCTTGGAAGATAAAAAGTGCTTCCGATCCTCCGGCCGCGGACCCCGCTTAGCGCTGGCTTCGCTGGCTCATGATCGCCGAGCTTCTTTCTCTTTGCGTTTTTTTTTTTTTTTTCTTCCAACCCCCTCGCTCGCTGGGGCAGCGGACGGGCGCCCCCTTCTCCTTCGCCGCCTTCTCCTCCTCCTCCTCCTCCTTTGCTTCCACACATCCACCACACACACACATGCACACACGCACAGGCTCTCGCATCAAGACCTTCCCCCTCCTTCTCTGGCGTATCCTTCCGCCGCGGCAGCCACCATCACTACCAACTGCACAAGCCCCCAAAAAAGCGGGGTGAGGGGGAGGAGGAGTGAAGGAGGGAGGGAGGGACACGGCTGATTTTTGCCCACGGGGTTCTTTTCGGAGCTCCCAAGTAGTTGGGGGGGAGGGAAAGAATGGGAAAGTGAATTCTTCCCAATGGGATTTTCTTTTTATTTTACTTAACAACCGGCCGACAATAAAAAACTCCGCACGCTCAAATATTTCCGGGGAAAGTGGAAAAGAAGAACGAGGGGTTTGAATGGATATTGCCTAGGTCTGGACTAGTAGTCTTGGCTGCAAAACTCTCAGCAAACTTCAAATAGGAGTAGAGAGATTAAAGATACACTTCCCAACCCCCAAACAGCATTCTGCTGCCCTTTTTGGTAGTCTTGGGGTTTTCCTTTTTTTAATTTCTTTTTTTGCAATGAGATCCAATAGCCACGTAGTTTTCATAGATTTGTACAAGTACTCCTCGACTTGCATTCATTATGTTTTGTGACCGGTCGAAGTTACAAGGGTGCTGAAAAAAGAGACTTATAATCGGCCCTTGTACTTTATGGACTGTTGCAGCCTCCCCACAGCTCAGATTCGGATGCTTGGCAACTGGGATGTATTTTACAACAGTTGCAATGTCCCAGGGTCATGGGGTCACATTTTGTGACCTCCCCAGGCAGCTTCCAACAAGCAAAGTCAAGGGGGGAAGCTGCCTTTGCTTAATGACCACATGATTCACTTAACAACTGCAGTGCTTCACTTCAGAACCTTGGCGCGAAAGGTCATAAAACTGGGCACCACACACTTAACCACCACCTTGCTTGGCAACAGAAATTCTGATCCCAACTGTGGTCGTAAGTCAAGGACTGCTTGTAAAGAGTCAAGGAATTACACAGCCACTACTCTCAATTCTCTTGAGTGTGGAAGAGAGAGGAAGGCAGTGACCAAATGATTGTCCTCATTGGTTTTGTAGGGTTCCAATGATGTTAAGACCCATCCCAATGTAATTATGTGTTCGTTCCTCTAAGCCAGGGGTCCTCAAACTTGGCAACTTTAAGACTTGTGGACTTCAACTCCCAGAACTCTCCAGCCAGCTATGTTATTCTCCAGCTATTCTCCACACTGGGAGTTGAAGTTCACAAGTCTTAAAGTTGCCAGGTTTGGAGACCCCTGCTCTAACCCAGCGGTATCAAACTGGCGGCGCACGGGCCAGATGCATCATGCACAGGCCACGCCCACCCCAGCTCTGTGAATGGGGAAAACATCGCGAAACAACATGTGACGGCAACGTGATGTGGCGAGTTTTGTGCTCTAACCTGAAAGAACGACTGGTTTTCCTCAACATTTTGGGATAAATAGGTAGCTAGTTTCTGAATGAATAGGTTATTAGGAACCCAGCTATTCTTATAAAGATGTTATGTGAACGCCAGCATCATGTCATGCCATGATTTTATTTTATTGGGGGACACGCCATGTCTTATGAACACATTATTCCACATTTTTCCAGATTTTGTTCTATTGTACTTTATTAATTTATAATATTCTTTTTGTTAGTTTTTATGGTTTTTTATTTTTATTTTTTATTTTAAATATGGTTTTATATTGTGTAAGCCGCTTTGAGTCGCTAAGTGGTGATATAAATTAATTAATTAATAAAATAAAATAAATAAACACTGCCCAATGTCTGGAGCACATCTTTCCATTTCCACCCCAATTCGCTTACCTTTTTTTTTTTTTTTAAATAAGAGACAACCTCTTCGCACAGCTGTCCAATTCAATTAAAATCCCATGCAAAACACATTAGTGATCCAGCAAATATGCAGCCCACAGCATCTGTCCCTTCCCCATCAAAAATATAGAACCATCTTAACTTTGAGGAATTTGACTGATCTTAAGAAGAGGGCTTTAGCCATCTGATAGGGTCCTTGCCTGAGATCTGATGCTAAGTAGAATTGTACGTTGCTCATTGTTGGAAAGGGAGGCTGCCAGAGCTGAGGGCTCGGCTGTAAAATTGCAAAAACAGTCTGTAGGAAAATGCTGGCAAAGCTCTTCCACGCTGTTACAAAAGAAAGCTGCCCAGATGCGTGTCCATAGATCATCAGGAATCAATTTTATTTTTGGTTTACTCCATCTTATTATTTTTTTTATAAATAACTCAAGGCTACGAACATACTTAATCCTCCCTCCTCCTCCAGTTTTTCCCACCCTGTCAGGTGGTTTGGGAGATGTTAGGATATTATTAAAACAACAATAAACAAATATTTTCCCACTCCCCCAAGCAATCCACCTGCCCAATTTTAAGAGATTTGATGATTTTTGAGTGGACCTCCCATTAAAATACTGCCCAGAAAAACACATACTGATTCTCTGTGCAATTGCTCTTTCTGTTGCAGGATCATACATTCTCATTCAAAAGCTCCCAGGGCAGAAGTGGAGAACTAGGGCCCCTTTATGACTTGTGGACTTCAACTCCCAGAATTCCTGAGCCATGCTGGCTCAGGAATTCTGGGAGCTGCAGTTCACAGGTCATAGGGTCATAGTTCCCCACCCATCCTAGACAATGCCCATTCATATATTGCACCGAAACATAATGGGGTGTATTTGGTATTGGCTTAGCATGTTATGTAAACCCATCCATGATGGTGTGTGAATCATGGTTTACATCTCTTGATGCATGGTTGAAACTAATTGGAATTGAGACCTTGAATCAGACATCCTCAACCTGCAGATTTCCAGAAATGGTTAACTAAGCTCTAGAACGGGGCTGTCAAGCTCGCGTTGTCATGGCATCTTCATGTGACGTAGCACAACTTTTTCTCACTTTGCTAAACCGGGCATGGGTGTGGCCAGCGCATGATGCATCCAGCCTGCGGCCCGTAAGTTTGACATCCCTGCTCTAGAATGACTAGCTAGTGTGCTAGCTGGAGATTGGGAGAATTAGACTAACATCATGGTAGGGCACGACATTGGAGAAGACTGCATTAAAACTATGGGTAGGTAGATAGTGACCTAGCACACAATATGTGGAGCCATTTGTTTCGTCCGATTTCTTAAATGGAGCCTAGAGGTATCTGCAGGGTGGGTGGTTGGAAAGCATCAAAACGGCGTCTGCAACCTGCACAATGGAAGCCTGGTCCAAAGCTGCCATCTTAATATTTTTGAATCCCCTACCACCATTCCAATCCTAGACAACAACATAAATATCAAGTATTAATCACAACGACACGTGATGATGTCACAGTGTTTTGCAGAATGACATCAAAAGGGACATCACACCCAGCACTTCCTCACTATAGGCTGCAGTCCTCCAATAGAGGCCTACTGAGATGAAATGAGGATGTAAGGATTGGATTCTGAATGCATTTAAATGGGATTCTACAATGGCTTGAGAATGCCCACAAAAGAGGATAAAGTCCTTTTAGCTGCTCTCAGCAGTAATATTAATCTGCTCTGTAACTAACACCTAAGTTTCAGAGGTTCAACCTTCCCCTATTGCAATATTTCTCAACCTTGCAACTTTAACATTTATGGACTTCAGCTCCCAGAATTCCCCAGCCAACATGGTAGATGTTCTCATGTAGGCCAAATACAATACCAAATACTCTTTGGGAGAGGAGTGAGTGAAAGGGGATTTCAAAGTGGAGAATATAAAGCAAAGTTTCTGAAGCTCAGCAACTTTTAGATGCATAGACCTCAACTCCCAGAATTCCCTAGCCACCCTGGCTGCTGGTAATTCTGAAGTTGAAGCCCACCTTTCTTAAAGTTGCCACGCTTGAGAAACACAGATCTACTGCTTAATCCTTGCACCTTGTTCCTAAATAATAGTCTGTATCTAACAATGGATGTTCTCTTTGGTTAAGAAGGCATAAGAAGATCTAAGATGAGTCAGAGCAAAGGCTCAAATACTGTAATGGAAAAGTCTTTATTTTTAAAAACTGCCAGGCAAGATCCTCCACACTGCATTAAACTTTTCCACCATCCCTTGGTGGCCGGTCCACAGTATTTTACTTTCAAAGCTGAGCGGTCTCTAAACACGAAGGTTTCCTTTGCTTGCTTACAATGAACCCTTTCTTCTCTGTGATTTTGTCTGGTTAAAAAAAAATAAAACTCCAATCTTGATTATTTTTACCTTGTAGCAAGGAATTCCATAAGCTGACAACCCTTCATCTTAGAGGCTGCGAAGACTATTGAGATGGTAGGTAAGCTGCATAAATAAATAAAACTAAACAAGGACAAATTCGACCCCTTGATGGGTGTGTATGTCCATGTGACCTCAGTGATGTTGTGGCTCACAAGACAAAAGTTTTTTTTTTCACTGAAAAAGCTCCAAACCAGGGGTGTCAAACTGGCGGCCCATGGGCCAGATACATACAGGTCATGCCCATCTCGGCTCCTCGAAGGGGGGAAATGTTGTGCTACATCATGTGATGGCAACTTGAAGCGGCGAGTTTGACACTTGTGCTCTAAATTATTGACCTGGTTTACCTTAATTTGAATATGTGCAGTCTCTGCTTATGAGATTTTTATTTTAACATATGTATAACACTTCACAGAAGTAGGTTTCCCCAAGTGAAGCTTGAAGACTGTGGCTTTTTTTTTTCATTTCCCCTTGTTCCATCTTTTGTCCTAGGTTTCCTCTGAGGGGTCTTTGGTGTGTGCTCTCTGAGTTTGGTTGTTTTCTTGCAGACGAGCACTAGCAAGTTGTCCTAGGATGATGTTATCTAGTTTGGGTAATGAAACGTCTGCAAGAAAATAAAAATGCTCCCAGAGAGCACCTACCACCCCTCATTTCAACCCTGAGCTACAAATGTTCTCCTTCCTTTCTTCTGCCTGATAAAAAAATTCTGGAGACCTAAAAAAACAGGTTTTTTGAAGAAAAGTTCTGAGCTGGTCAAATCAAGAGTGTGCATGGATACAAA